GCCCTGCGGGCACACCGTGACCTGCAGCACCTGGTGCACCGCGTCGCCCTCCTCGAGGCACAGCTGCCCGCAGCCAAGCCCGGAGGCGTTTTGCCCAAGGAGCTGCAATCCGCCACTTGGCCAGGGTATGGCCATGGGGATTGGGACCACACAGGGGTTCGAGGGTCTCCAAGGGTTGCCCAAGGGTGGTGGCTTCTTGTCGCATGTTCTCGCTGCAGTCGGGCTCCTGGGGCGTTTGCATGGTGGGGCAGAGCCCCAGCGGTGGATGGTGCACAGACCCCCCCCATGGCACCCCATCTCTGCCGAGCTCTTGGGGGATGTCTGGCAGCCCTGTGGACTCCCTGCTTGCTGATCCCTCCTAGGAAGTACGACTCACTGATCCAAGCACAGGCTCGGGAGCTCTCCCACCTGCGGCAGACACTGCGGGAGGGACGTGGGGTGAGCTGCAGCCTGGCCCAGCACCTGCGTGATGCCCTGCGGTCCTTTGAGGACCTCCTTCGTGGCACCGACATCGACTATTACCTGGGTCAGGGCTTCCGGGAGCAGCTGGCCCAGGGCAGGCAGCTGGCTGAGAGGCTCAGTGACAAGCTGGGCACCAGTAAGTACTTGGGGGGGGGGCACTGGGGCTGTACATTGTGGGGTGTGATGGGCCAGGAAGGTATACTTTGATGTGTGCTGTGAAGGGCTAGGGCCATTTGAACACCTTGTGCTCTGTGGGCTACCCACTTAGAGCTGAGCTGTCCTGCTATGGCTCTGTTTGGGGATGGGCAGCCTGGGGTGCAGAGACACTGACTGGCTCCTCTGGCTTGTTTTTTCAGGAGATCGACAAGATGGGGAGGATAAAACCAGCCATGAACTCCTGGCACTGAGGTACCTGTTCCTAGGGAGGGCTTGGGGGACTTGTTTTGCACAGGGACCCCAGGGGCTGGCTATCACTCCTTTTGGGGTGGGGGTCCAGGGTGCTCTTGCGGTCTCTGCTCCAGGTGGACATCCTGGGGCTGCCTCTGCTGTGGGGATGGAGACCCCCGGGCTTGGGCTGGGCACCCCATGGCTCTGGGCAGCCTTGCAGCACAGTTGGGACGCGCTGTGTGGGGTGTCGTACTGGAGCATGCACAGCGCAGCAGGGAAGGGCTGTGACATGGGAGTCACCTGCTCTGCCAGCCCTGGTGATGGGCCACCTCCACAGGCTCAGCCGGGAGCTCCAGGAGAAGGAGAAGGTGATTGAGAGCCTGGAGGCGAAGCTGCAGGAGCGCTGCGAGTCCCCAGGCAGCAGCCGACCACCCTCTGAGTTGTCCCGCTCTGCCACCAGCTCCTCCTTCTTGTCCGAGGGGCTGGAGCCCTGCTCCGATGGGGATCGCAGCCAGTGCCGTTAGGAGCCCGCCCGACCCGCAGGTACTGTGGGGTGCCCAGGGGCCAAAATGGCAGGCTAGGGGCACGCAGCCCCTTTGTAGCAAGCGGGTCCGTGCAGCAGTAGGTGCCCATCAGGGCTGGGCAGGGGCTGTGCGTGTGGCACCGTGCCACAGTGCTAGCCCGGGTGGGTGAGCACATGGCACCTGGGGCTGCAGGGGAGGGTCCTGGGGAGTCCTGCCATGGTACCGCAGCCCTGCAAGGCTGGGACCTGACCAGTCTCGCATGGGCCATCCCAGCCTGTAGTGCCTCCGGACACTGGGACTCGGCTGTTTGGAGTGTGCCAGGGTCTCCAGTGCCCCCGAGGAGGAGGGGTCCTGCCAGGCTGAGCCAGAGCCACACTAACATCTCTCTCCGTCTCTCTCCCGTCTCTAGGCCTTCACTTTGACTCCTTGTCCAAACCTGTTAGTGCCCCCCTGCCTGTGCTGGCCCCTGGGCAGCCCCCCTTCCTGCCTGCCGGGCCCCCCCCTCCTGCAGCCGCCCCGCTCTTGGGCTGCTGCGGGACCCCCGTCTGCTCCCTGGCTGAGGCGCAGCAGGAACTGCAGGTGCTCCGGAGGCAGCTGGGAGAAAGTGAGCGGGTGCCTCCGGCATGGGGTTGGTCCTGCCTGCCCTGTGTGCCGTGCTGTGCCGTGCTGTGCCACATGCCACCCCCCTGGGCCCCGACCTGCCTGTCCTGCCCTGGCCCTTCTCCTGCTTCCCGGGGCTATTGCTTTGAGGCTGGGTCCCATCACTCTGGCTGGGGGATGTTGGGGACATGTGGCTCTCATGTAGACAGGACCTGGTGGGTGGGATGGACAGCCTGAGGCAGCACTTGCCCTTGGTGTGGGGACTTGCACATCCTAGGGCCTCTGGGAAAGGGCTGGTTTGGTTAGTTATTGTGTGGGAGTGGGGCTGAGACCCTCCAACTTGTGTCACATAATCAGTAAGCCCTGGGAGAGCCTCTGCTCTTCAAGGGGAATGGTTTGGACTGGGCAAGAGGTCAATGATGGGGGATCACCATGGGGGGACATTGGGCCGCATTGTTGGGCAGAGCGAGAAGCGGGCAAAAAGCATGTGGCGAGAAGAGTGTGTTACCCCCATTCTTCCTCCCTGCTCACTGCTCCTCCTCCTCACTACTTTGCTCTGTGTGTGCAGGTGTGACGCTGCCCATGGCGCCAGCAAAGCCCACAGCCCCACTGGGCCCCTTCGGAGAGGGAAGCAAAGCCCCAGCTTCGCGCTGCCGACACGGTGCACTGCAGAGCATGGCTGAGGTCCCCGGGACCACCGAGACCCGCACCCTCTGGAATATACCCCCTCCTGGCCAGCCACTTTACGGGACCTTGCCATCGGGGTACCCCTCCAGCCAGAAGCTAACAGGTAAGGTCTGTGTTAAAGAGCATGGGGGCATCCTGGCTGGCTGTGGGGCAACAGGGAGGAGACCCCGCACCAGAATTGCTGCGGGACATGGCTCTGGTGTGGGGCAGGATAGTGGGGATGGCATGAGGCAGGTGGCACAGCCATCCCTGCCCTGAGCCATCTTCTCGGCTGTGGCAGGGGCTGACCTGCTGGAGGAACACTTGGTGGAGATCCGCAGCCTGCGCCAGCGCCTCGAGGAGTCCATTTGCACCAACGACCGGCTCCGGGAGCAGCTCGAACGCCGCCTGGCCTCCACCGGCAAGGCCAGCGGTACGGTGCTGGCACTGGGGCCAGAGCTGCTGGGGGGGCCCAGGCTTTGCACAGGGGAGGTGTTGGTCAGCGAGACTCAGCAGCGGTCCCCCTTTGCAGGATTACCCAGTGACATCTACGCCCAGATGCCGGAGCCGGGGCTGCAGCTGAGCGGGGAGAACCAGGCTCTGCGGGAGGACAACCGGACCCTGCGGCTCCAGCGTGACCACCTCTCCCAAGGTAGGGCCATGCCGCCAGCACCTCGGGCCTGAGTCCCAGAAGGCGCTGGCTGAGCGGGGTGGTAGTGACACCTCCATGCTCTCTGTCCCCAGAGCTGGCGCGGGTGCAGGAGGCGCTCCTGGCTGCCTGCTCCCGGGCACGGG